GTACACCATGGTTTAACGCAGTGACCTGTCTGCATTGGCTAATTCACCCTTGCTTGAACTTTGTGACGGAGGGGGGCTATGACGTTTCCGGAGTCCCTCCGAGATGTTGAGAGGGACGTGGAAGGCAGGCCGCACCGTAGTGCTGGTCGACGCTCACTCACTTACTCACTCGAAGTGCCTGTTTCTGCGTTTTTTTTGTGTGTTGAGAAGCATTGAAGTGCATTTCCAAAAGTGAAAATGGGGCCAAACGGACGGAATAGGAACCCATTTTTGGAGCCTGCTGGTTTGATTCCAAAATGGGCGCATATCCCAAGGGCTCACAGTCCCATCAGGGGCCCACATTTTGGTGTTGGGAACCACTTCCAGCTCGTTTTTTGGAACCAAAGGTCTGAATGCAGAGCAAGAAAAAAATATCGTCCAATGCCACCATTTCTTCAACAAAATGCAGCTGTATAACTCGGGTTTACTCCAACCCCAATTTGCGGACCCTGTTTGGGGTTCGGGTTAAAACCCAACCCCGACCCGCGGAGTTAGGGTTCGGGTAACTCCAACCCTAACCTACGCAACAGAGAGCTGGGATTGGGTTCGGGTTAACNNGGTTAACCCGAACCTGGAACCTGGGGTTGGGGTTAGGGTTGAACCCCAACCCTAACCTGAGGTTCGGGTTGAGGTTAACCCAAGGGTTTTGTTAAGCTCCAGATGTTCGGTCTTTTTCGCCACAGGCCAAGTTGCGCGTGGTAGAGAATGGCTTAAAACTTCCCAAACTTTTTAAACAATACAAGACACACATGTCAGATCGTGGGGTGGCGTAATTCCTCTTCAAATCCCAATTCCTCCAGATCCTTTAAATTTCTCTTGCGAAGTGCGCACTAGTTTAGTGACTGTAACGCAGTGGGATTTTTTCGATGTTTTTGGCTGTTGAATTCCTGTTGAATCCCAATTCCTCATACATTCCTAAAATCCTTTTCCTTTTGAATTCCTTTGAAATTCCTCTCAAATTTCTTTTGTATTCCTCCGACAATCGGACTTCAGCTGCTGCAGGGAGCGGTAAAGGTTTAAGAAGGAGGGAGGACGGAGGGACCTTTCGTGTGTTTTCGTTCTCTGCTAGTACAACTTAAGATCTGGCGTTCTCGGCGACTTCTTGGATTGCATTCTCTGGTAGTACCACTGAAGTGCTGACTTTCCAACGTGTTCCTTATCTCGGTTGGCCTTCCGCACTGTTTGGAGTCTGTGCCATCATAATGTTTTGGTGAGCTCGTTCCCGCTCTTGATTGGCATCGTCTCACTCTTGGGGGTTCTTACGGCTTGCTCAGCTGTTTGGCAGCCGCAAATTCCGAAACAGTCTTGATCTCTGGCCTGGTTGACAAAGAGCATATGCCGCCTTCGCTAAAATCTGATGTTGAGATCGAATGGAACTTCTATGAGAGATGGCATGTCAACCAAGCTTTGCCGCTGCTTCAATGCACAGCACTCAGTGCTTGTGCATGCTGTCGGAAATGCAAAACCGCCGGCGCAAGTGTTTTTACGCGGATGCGACGACGGAGCTAACAACAGTGGGTATTGGTTGCGTATTGCGCCCCCTGAGACTCCTTCCTCATTTTGTCCATCGCAGACGTTGGACTCGAACTCGTGTATCGACACAACCTAAAGGTGCGTCGAGCTACGATCTGCCGACGTAGAAGTTCACGAAGCCCTGCAAATTTCAAAACATTTCACAGGAAAATCAGCTGTCAACGTTTCTGAGCTCGAAAGCAGTGGAATACCCATCTTCTTCTTCGAAGCGAGCGCAACTGAGATTGCAATTTACCCAGAAATATCAGCATCAGAAACGGAACCTAACTTTTGCTTCACCATTCATTTTGGCTATGCAAGCTTTCGCACAGACCGAGAACAATTTTTGCAGGTTTCCACGGGAGGCTGAGTGTGTGGTACGGGAGAGTAGACACAGGAGCCAAAAGTTTCAAGATTTCAAGCATGTTGCCGACAAAAACAAATTTGCGGCCGAAGAGGCATGGCATTGAGTATGTTTGGTTTCTTTTGGGAAGGCGTTGCCTGGTTGAACATGCGGACAAAACGTCGATTGACAATGCATTTTGAACCTGAGCCGAAAGCGACAGACCGCCATGTCCGGGTTGCAGCGGCCTCTCCACATTTGCGATATGTTGCCAGCCAAAGACCAATCCCGAAAATCTTCCGACTTCCGAGAGCTTGAATTGGAGCCACCATGAAGCGGCAGCTATTGGCAAGCCGTGAGTTCGAGCCCCATCGTGATGAACATTCCACGCTGTGAGCCTGACTGCCGTGGTGTGCCAAAAGCTGAAAAGCCTAGAAGAACAAAGTTCAGTGAGCGACCAGCTCGGGAGCTCTAAATGAGGTGAACTATCGGAACGGGCCTAGTCTCCGAGAAGAACATGTCTAGCAACAAGATATCAGGATGTTTCACAAGCGCGCCGTGTGTTGGTAGACGACTGCGATGAACCGCACCTGCATGGACCGCATGTCGAACTATGTTCAACCAATTCTTTCGGATTGTAAATTTGCAACAGTTATCCGCTGCTTTTGACCTCGAGCTTTTCACCGAGTCACCTTCGTCGAAGTTCAGAGATGTTGTTGTCAGTATGGGCGGCAGCGGCCATAGGGATGGCAAGCAGCGCGTTTGGCGAGATACACTACCCGCGCTATGGCTGCGGCAAGGGCTTTGAAGACCTCCCGTTTTGCAATAGCAGGTTGCCCATCGCAGATCGTGTCGACGACTTGGTACAGCGGTTACGGTTGGAGGAGAAGCCACTCCTGATGGTTGCCCGGCTGGCGCCGCTTGGCAACATCTCACGGCTTGGCATTCCACAATATGACTGGGGAGCCAATTGCATCCATGGTGTTCAATCTCGCTGTGGTAAAGGCTCAGATGGTAAGGTTCGATGCCCCACCTCTTTTGCAGCTCCGAACCTCTTAGGTGCCACTTTCAACGAGTCGGCATGGTGGACGATGGGTCACATTATTGGCGTGGAGCTGCGCAGCCTGTGGAAGCAAGGCAGAGGAGAGAACCATCCACCCACACAGCTTCCACCTTTAGGCCTGGACTGCTGGAGCCCAAACATCAACATAGTCCGTGATCCACGTTGGGGGCGGAACATGGAGACGACGTCTGAGGATCCTTTCATCCTGAGCCGCTTCGGGATACAGGTGACGAAGGGCCTGCAGGAAGGCAAGGAGGACAAAGGGCGGCTACAAGCCATTGTCACACTCAAGCACTTTGCAGCGAATGAGCTTGAAGGCACATGGAAGGGACCGGGCGGTCCTGCTGAGTACCCTGGCACCGGGATGTGCCCTGGACGGAAGTGTACAAGACACACAATCAACGTAAATATCTCTTCGTACGATCTGGCCTCATCCTATCTGGCATCTTTCCGCAGCACCGTAGTAGAAGGAGGTGCACTTGGGGTAATGTGTTCTTACAATTCAATCAATGGCTATCCGAGTTGTGCCAACAAATGGCTTCTGAATGAGAAGCTGCGACAAGACTGGGGCTTCAAAGGCTATGTAACGGGAGACTCTGGAGCTGTCGCCGACATTTACGATCAACATTGGTTCGCTCCGTCAATGGAGGATGCAGTTGCCAAGGCTGTGGAGGCCGGCACAGATGTCCAATCCTCTGGGTGGCCTTCGGGGCACCCGTGGGCGACGACGAACGCTGAGTACCTGAAGTACATCCCAGACTTGGTCCGACAGGGAAAGCTGTCTGAAGAGGCCTGAGCTCGATCTTTGGATTGCAGCGTGTGACTCATAGTCCGCATAGTCCACAGACTTTTGGTGTGAGCTTTCTCTCCGATCTCAGGCGCTGGACGAAGCTCTGAGGCACACTTTGACCCTCAGATTCCGCCTCGGCCTCTTCGATGATCCTGCTAGCCAACCATATGAGCACTTCTCTCCCGACATTGTGCGCAGCAGTGAGCATCTGGCTGCCGCTCTTGACTCGACGGAGCAGGGTCTGGTACTTCTCAAGAACGAGAAGGGCACTTTGCCAATCCCTGAGGGTCGAAAGATTGCCGTCATCGGTCCCCACGCCGCTTCCCGAGGAGAGCTCCTCGGAAACTACCTGGGTCAGATTTGCCCAGGTGAGAGGCAGAGCTTCGCTTGTGTGCAGACCATCTTCGAAGCCCTCGCCAACTTGACGCAGCAAGTGACCACAGCCCCAGGATTGCCCGGCATCAGCAGTGAAGTTGACCCGAAGATCCTTGCAGAAGCGGTAGCCACGGCGAAGGCTGCCGAGTACATCATACTGGCTTTAGGCCGGGAGCCAGCCGCTTCAGCATCAGTTAGCATCGTTCAGCTTCCTCTTTTCACTCCCCCATTCCAACTCCATCTGCGCAGGCCTGGACACTGCCTCAATCGAGAAAGAGGGGCAGGATCGCCGCACGGTGATGCTGCCGCCTGGGCAGTTGGTTCTGCTCGATGCCATGATCGCCCTGAAGAGGCCGAACTTTTCCCACCCTTTAGTTATTTTTAAGCGGTATACCCCGCCATCGCCAAAAATTAGTTACGGAAGGCCGCTAACTGTTGTGCTGGTGAATGGCGGCATGGTGGCGATGACACCCGTCAAGGAGAAGGCCGACGCCATCGTGGAAGCCTGGTACCCCGGGTTTTTTGGCGCCACAGCCATCGCCCGTGCAGTGTTGGGACACAGCAACCGCTGGGGCAAGCTGCCTGTGACTATTTATGATGAACACTTTACAGAGCAATTCGACATGCTCAGCTTTGACATGACTAAATCTCCTGGGCGGACGTACCGATACTTTACAGGACAACCGCTTTGGCCATTTGGGTACGGTCTGTCTTACACCACCTTTGCTTTGCAGATCCTCGGTTCAAGTTCGATCAAGGTCTCGCAGGCAGGAGGTTCCGCAAAGGTCGATGTACGCGTCCTGAACACTGGGGAGAGAACCGGCGACGAAGTGGTAATGGCTTATTTTTCACCAGTGGAAGGGACCCTTCCTGCAGGATGTGCTGCCACACTTCTGCGCAAAGAGCTTTTTGCTTTCCAGCGGGTTGCCCTCCAGCCTCAGACAAGTGCGACCTTGAGCTTCACGCTCACAGCCGCGAGTTTCCAGGTCTTTACAGATGCCGGTGATGGTGTCAGCTATGCTGGCAAGTACACTGTATTGCTCAGCACAGGTAGTGTGGACGTGACCATCAATGTCGAAGTGGAGGGAAATCGGCAGCAGCCATTGGTTTTACAGCCTTGGCAAGCGCCTGCCAAGACAACTAGCATGGTTGTCTGAGATGTGGTTATCTGTTCCAAGTCTGTCAGGATCACTTGCGGTCGTGATTGACGATGCTGGTGGCTGATCTCAGGCTTTTAGTACGCAACTTAGCAGCTGTGCTGTTTGACAACACGCAAAGTCTGCTTCAGTCTGTGGATGATAAAGCGCGCTCTGACAGTTCGCGGAACACAGGATTCTCTGTTACTTTTCATGCGCGCTCCCTGGCAGGTGTCAAGTGTACTCAGCATCACAGGATCTGACCCAGAAGCACCAAGCAAGGATTCTGACAGTATCTGCTGTCAAGACAGTCCCGCCGACCCGTCGACTTGAAGATGTTCTTTCGCTTCATGTTCTGCATGTACGGCATGTGCAGGGAACGACTTGTCAATCGATTTCAATACAGACGCGTCTGAAGTCGTTGCGGCTGCACCCGTTGTGGGCTCGAACCTGCAGGCAGTTCTGTAGATAGGATTAGGCGTCGTGCTGCCTGTTTATACACAGGCCTGTGGGATGGTCCCTCTTGCCCACCCTGCACACATGCTTGTTCAAACATGAGCACGCAGGTGCGATGAGGCTGAAGTTAACACACGAGGCCAGTGCCCACTGAAACAAGCGAATTGCCAGTGTTGCTTCTGAGATTTCTCTGCCGAATTGCTCATTGGGACGCCTGCAAAGGCCACGCAGCAAGCATATCAGCAGGAACAAGCATTCCTAGCGAAGGCATTGCCAATTGTTGCACCCGAGCAGTTAAATAGCCTACCTCGAGATTTCATGGATAAAGGCTTCACTGATGTGCTCGGTTCGGTTTGCTTCGCTCCAGGAAGTGCCGAAGCACAAATCGCTAGTGACTGCAGTCGGATGGTGCTGAGCCGAGATATGCAACACATACTCTTTTTCCCGATGTTGGGTCAAAAAATGCAGCAAGCGGCGACAACTAACACCATGCTGAGGTACAAGACCGGCAAGCAATACGAGTTGCTGTCAGCCGGCGATGACCAGGCTGTGCCAGAGAGGTAGAGTGTATGTCTGCGACTGTCTCAAGACAGCTCAAGGCCTTCCATGTACGATGCAATGGGTACATGCGAGTTCGCGGCACATCATGTCGTCTCCACCCTTCTTGTGCCTTCAGCTTTCACTTGTTTCATACCAAGCCGAAGCCGAAGGACGCAACTTTCGAAGCAGCCAGCACCTAGTAGACCTAGTTGTGAAGCTTTATTTGCATGTCACAGACACATGACACATCAAGACGGCAGCCATGCCCCTCCCCGTCAGGAAAATCACATATTGCAAGCGAACAGTTCTTCAGTGCTTCCTGGCAGGAAATCTGGAAATGGCATGTCGAGGGCTCCCCGATCGCCAACCCCTTGGAAGGGACATGGACTGCTCCGATTGCACATCGTAGCATGTGTGGCACCGCTCGTGTGTGTCATGAAACCTTGTGAGGTGAATGTCTAAGTTTGGAACGCTGTTCCATCTGCAGCCCTCCGTAGACTTCCGGCAATAACTCAGATGTCCCGAGGTGAAGCTGGGAAGCTGCGAGTCCTTCTGCACGGCACCCCCGCCGAGAATTGGTGTTCCCCACGTCCCACGTGGTTCAGCATGGGTTTCACAAACAATGAGGCAGAGGCATCGAGCGCTGCAGCTCGAAGGCAGCTGCAAAACCCTTGCATCTGCATGAGTATGTCAGGCCATGGCATGGATGCCCAGTGGCAAAGGCACACCTTGGAGGGCGTGCAAAGTCGACACAGTCGATTTCTTAAATGTCAGCCGTACCTTGTCAGGTTCAGAGAACACCTTTGCACTGGGATGTGCCGATGGAACCTTCAGACTGGTCAGTGAGACCGGCCGAGAAGAGAAGAAGGCTCGCAGCTGCCCTCTCCCACAGTGCCTGTCGTGCAGCGTCGCTCTGGGAGCTAGGCTTGCTGAGGCTTCGAGATGCAAGGGGGAGAGTTCATGATGCTCGTTTGGGATTCCGGGTGCAGTGGTGCTGAGTCCAGCTTTAATCGCGCAATAGCGCACATGCTCCTGCATTAGAATGCGGATGTTTCTCAGCTGTCTCCGGTAGGCTCAACATGCTCGCTTCAAGCGGACTCTCACTCACTCACTCACTCACTCACTCACTCACTCACTCACTCACTCACTCACTCACTCACTCACTCACTCACTCACGTGCGCACGCACGCACGCACGCACGCAGGCAATCGCACGCACTCACTCACACACAGGGGTCTTGGGGAGCCTGGCAGGTTGATGCTCACCGAGGCGCAGTCATCTCCCTGCGGTGGAGCTTCGACGGCTGGGTTCTCTGGTTCGTTTGCAAACTTGAGTAATATAGTGTAGGCTTAGACTGCAAGGATCTGCCATCGCAACAGCTGGTGAAGACGGCATTGTCAAGGCAAAGGGAATTTTGGGATCGAGGGGTAGGTGGCTCCACAGGCCAACACAACCCGCGAAGGTTTGGTCCAGGAGTGGAATGCTGAGGTCGGCCCTGGCGCAACAGTCTTTGGCCGAGACGGATGATGTCAAAGCACTGGTGGGATCCCTTCACTTGCTTGAGGTCGCATGCCATCTACTCGGTGGTCTGGTCTCCGGATTGCGGGGTGCCGAGATGTAGTGTATGGTGGATTGCGCAAGTCTGAAACAAGCACTTGTGCATCGACAGTTTTACTACGGCCGTCGAGGCGAGCATATTCTCTTCGCGTGCAGTTCAAAGATCCACCTCAAATCCATTCAGGATGGCTACTTTCTTGGACAGTCCTTGTTTTGGTCAGCTGCACCCTGGAAAGGCTGGCCAGAAACAGGTCGAGTGGAAGGCACCTTTTCGGCTTTCAACGGCGTTCTCTTATACTCTTTGGCCACCAGCAAGCAACACCGCGGATGCTCGACGTGACTCTGCGCATGTTCAGGCCCACGATGGTGTCGTCATGATGCTGGACTGGTCCGCTCCTAGAGGGACGACATCCTGCACGAAGCACAGGGCATCGCCCAGTTGTAGGTGGAGAAGCATGACATCTCCCCACTTGATCAAGGGGAGTTTGGCTTTGACCGTGCGAGCGTCCCAGGTCTTTTGTCAACAACACTATCCTTTCTGCCGGCGAAGACTGCCGGTTGCATGCTGAGCTTTTTCAACAGGTGAAGAACACATTGTGGTACAACGACTCAGAGGTACAAGATTTGGGACTGTTATGGTCGGCTTCTCTTCAACTCCGCCCCTCTCGACCATGTGGTCACTGCCATTGCCGAGAGCACAGCTTGCAGTCTGTAGCGAGTGATTTGCAGCAGTGACAACAAGCTTGCTGCCTCGAATTGCCAGTCGCCAGAACACTTGCTCTGTTGCTCTGTTCTATGTTTCCGAGACGAAGCAGGGGCAGAATTGTCCTGCACTCTGCAAGGCGTGGTCCCCGACAGGCGGGCGGCAACGAATCCTAAGCTGGTCCATGTGTCCTTCCGCTGTCTAGCGGAAGAGGAACCTGCAGTTTCGACTTACTCCGAAGTTTTGACAATGAATGCTTCCAAAGTATCTTGCTTTGCGTGGCCGTGCCAGGCAAGCATTTTGCCGTCGGGAGCTTCAACGTTGTGGTCCAAGCTGTGTATGTGACGCCAGGTTGCTCTTCGGTTCTCGTGTATCTGTGACGAGACTCTGTGCTTAAGACCTGAACAGCTTCGGCCGGCACGTGGATGTGGGCTAGTGTGCTGTGCTGAACACGCTCTGAGACCTTGAAGCTTTGTGACCGTACTGGATGGTCCTACTGTGCAAATCTCGGGTCTCAGTGTGAGCACTTGAAGTCACTTGCCTGCAGTACATGTAGCATCCTGTAGCAAGGTCGTGAGACGCCAGATGTGGGCTCCATTTTCTCCATCTCCTGGTGCAATGTGCGACCCTCCAGACGGTGTCAAACAGTCCTCTTTGCCATTTCTTGGGTCCACCGGCAAGGACGGAACGCAACTTGCATGCGGCACCGGGAGTGGGCATGTAGTCTTTGGAAGCCTCGTCGCACGGGCCCTGGCAAGAGACTGGCTGTTCAGTCTTGGAAAGTGCTTATGCAGCCAAGGAAAGAAGCTGCACGTGGCAGAACATGGACGTAAACTTGGATGAAAACAACATGATTACGGTTACTTGGCAGCACGTCTCGCCATGCTGTGAAATGAGCATTTGGACCCCATTGTGTTGTCTCTTCGGAAGCGCTGGCTTGGGGTGAACGTTATAGTGTTGCCTGCTATTGTCGTGTGTGTGGTGCTGTAGTTGTCGCCCATACAAGTGATGTGCGGGAACTGCAGCAAGGTGGTGGACATTCTCAATGAGACAAAGGAGGCATGATGTTGCAGAGTTTTGCATGCATCCCAGAGAGCATGTGTGCGCAGGGCACTCGTCCAGCATGAGCTTCTCAACAGGAATTGGACTTCCGTGATCGCGTGACCGACATGCTGTCGCCTAAGAGCTCGTGTCCACATTGCAGTTGCTGAAGACTCAGAATGAATTGTCACAGGTCCTTGGCTTATGGAGCTTTGGTTGTGAATACCAACAGCCAGTGCTTCATATACCAGTCGACAAACTGGAACACGTGTGGGTCTTACCCGGGTCATGGAAGTTGCCGTCTGGTGTCGGTCGCGCGCCCATGTCCTGCTGCTGCTGCCAATCGAGGCCTCACGTGGAGGACTTGAAAGAGCCACCAACGCTCATTGTCCAGTGCATGTCCAAGGATCAGGGCAAGTCGAGTCCGTGCTAGATGTATCAGCTGTGGCCTAAGTTGTGTGAGGTGTCCACACCACTTCGCTCTGGTCGATGCCAATGGAATTCAGATCATCAACTACGAAGGTGCCTATTTCGTGAAACATGATTTGTTTCGCAGCTTGTTTCATTCCCTCAGGCCGACAGTTGTCTACCATAAAGATGAGCGGCCTTCGCTATGAGTTCCTGAACCATCAGACATTGAGCCCGCCCGGCGTCTGTTTGCTCGGTAAGTCTGTGCGCTGGTCAACCACTGCCCTCGCTGCAGGCATTTGCCGAGATGCAGTTGCCCTAGTAGATCCTGCACAGCCGAAACAGATACGTCCTCTCCCAAGGGACGGAACTCGTGCTCCTCCATCGTGAAGGGACTCGATGGTGTCGTCACGTCAGGTGTGTTCGATGTTTTCACGGGCCGTGCCATGGGGCTACTGCCTCAGAAAGAGCACACACACACGCACGTTTCTTCTGGCATGACGCTTTTTGCATCTCGCGACATTTCCGAGGAACCCTATCCAGCACAAGCTCGACATCGTGCGCATCTCGCTTAACCAGCAGGGTCAGGTCCTCGGTCTTTTTTTCAATGATGATCTGGGGGAGTTGAAATCAGCGCATACGAGGGTCAGGCAGCGATCGAAAAATCGCAATCCTGGACAAGAACAAGGCTTGGAGTGTAGTAGCCACGATAAGCAAAATCCAGCAGCTCCTGTCCTGTTCAGGATTTGTATCTCACCAAGGCCATGCAAGCAGCCAGATCCTAAGCGCAGCCTGCGGGCCACTTGGCTGTGGCTGACTGCCCTCACGAGTGACCACTACATGTGAGGACAAGACTGAGAAGCTTGGGGCCATGGTGGACACTTTTATGTGGAATGACAGCACCGACATGCCGCTTGGCTTTTGTAGCAAAGTGAAGTTTGCCCAGCACTGTCCTTTTGCCCGAGGCTTATTGCCCTGATCGACGAAAAACTAGTTATTTTCATCTATCCGGCTGTATGCTTTGTTGACAAGGACGCGCTCACAGATTGTGATGTCATGATGCCGCAAAACAGACGGTGAGAACTACAGGATTTGCTTCCAAAGACGCTGCAGTCAAAGACCTGCGCGGATGCCGGCAAGTCGCAGTCTCAGGGTTCAGGTAGAGGGCTTCGGTGCCCTTTGGCCCTCGTGCGTGTACTTGGCAAAGAGTGCATGGGGCTTTTGGCACACAGTCGCTGTTGACTACATCCGGTTGTGGCGTCGGGCTCGACTGAGGTACGCACAGATTGTCGCATTCTATGGCTCCAACTGCACCATCAGAAAGGCTCATGCAACCTGAGTTGTAAGAAGCCCAAGTGCCGCAGCGACAGTGGAACTTTGCAGTGAAGGCAGATGGCTCGGATTTGGTCAAAAACTTAGAGTGTTTCTTGTTGGCACTACAGTGGTCGTAAGCGTGTTGATCAGGCCATGGTCACCACCCCCTATCCTCAGCTGTCTGGAGCTAAGCCGCTCAGGGCCACTGATTCCAAAAAAGACAGGGGAGCCCGAGCCTTCCAGGCTTTACACGCACTTTGAGAAGGGCCAGTGGGAGCAGGCAGACGACCCGGCGAGCCGCCACGTCTTGGGAGTTTTCAGTGGTGGAGGCGGTGCGGCTGTGCCGATACGTGAAATCGCCGGAGCTCTGGGCCTCGCTGGCAGCTCCGATCTTACGAGCTCTGAGCTCTTTCTCGCTCGCGCTCTCTCTCTCTCTCTCTCCCTCTCTCTCTCTCTCTCGCTCTCTCTCTCTGTCTCTCTCTCTCTCTCTAAGCACCGCGGCTCGAACCGGCTCTTCTTGCGGAGCTTGTACATACTGCCGGGCCGCA